TTACCTGTTGAGGTATCACAAGCTAAGGTGTCCTTGTTGTTAATGGGGATGTTTTGGAATAATAATTTCGTTTCCTTAGACTGCAAAAGCTTTTGTAGCTCCGTATCGAGCTTTTGATGCTTTGCCATTTCTTGATAGTCTATATCAGGGGTCGAGAAGGTATTGATATTTAATCTCGATAGTGCATCTGCTGCCTCATTTGCATTGCCTTTAATATAGCGTATATCAGCTGCAAATTGTGAAATGAATTCTAGTTGACGAATTTCGCGCGGACTGTATTTATCATGATTGTGCATCAAGGACTTAGTTAGAGGTTTGTGATCAGTATATATCGTGAAAGAATTGCCTTCTAACATATAGCGAAAGTGTTTGATGGCTAAGTAGATAGCTAACAGTTCTCTACCGAATGTGCTATATTTTGTTTGCGTTGCGTTGAGCTTTTTTGAGAAAAATGCAAGGGGTTGCCATTGTTCATTGACACGTTGCTGAAGTACAGCACCTACTGCTACGTTAGAAGCGTCGGTCATTATTGCTAAAGGTGCATCAACCTTTCGTCGTGCGAGTAATGCCTCTGTGCTTAAAGCGCTTTTCAACTGATCAAATGCTTGAATTGCTTGCGGTGTCATTGCTAATGATTTAGCTCGTCCCCTTAATAAATCAGTTAGTGGTTTTGCTAAGTCTGCACATTTAGGGATAAAACGTCTGTAAAAGTTGATCATCCCAAGGAAACGTCGTAGTTTCTTGAATGAATCAGGCAAAGGATAATTTTTGATAGCTTGTGTTTCCTCAGGAACTGGTTTAATGCCTTGCTTATCAAGTACGTGACCTAAAAAGGTGAGGGATTGTTTTCCGAACTCACATTTGTCAGGATTGACCGCTAACCCATACTCGTTTAGCTTCTCAAAAAGCATTTTCAAATGCGTTAGATGTTCATTTTCATCTTTGCTTGCTATAAGTAGGTCATCTATGTAAGCATACACAAACGGTAAGCCCCGTACCACTTGGTCGATAAAACGCTGGAAACTTTGTGCAGCATTCCTTAATCCGAAAGGCATGCGGACGAATTCGTATAGTCCAAAGGGGGTAGTAATGGCTGTTTTAGGAACATCGTCCGGATGAATTGGAATGTGATGGTAAGCACGGACGAGATCAACTTTTGAAAAGATCGACACGTCAGATAGGCTATGAGTGAAGTCATGCAGATGTGGGAGAGGATATCTATCTGGTACGGTCCGGCTGTTGAGAGCTCTATAGTCACCGCACGGTCTAACTTCGGAAGAGTTTTTCTTAGGTACCATATGAAGCGGTGATGCCCACGGACTATCGGAGGGGCGTATGATGCCCAACTCAATCATTTTGTTGAATTCGTTCTTTGCGATAGCCAGACGAGAGGGATCAAGGCGTCTTGGACGTGCGAACACTGGTGGACCCTCTGTCTTTATGTGGTGTACGACGGTATGCGTCGGTTTGTCGTGTTTGAAACTCGGTCGTAATAAATCTGGAAACTGATTAAGTAAATTGACGTATTTGTCGTTCTCTTGATGAGGTTTAACTAATAAATGTATGGAAGTCTCATTTGATATAATTCCTCTAATTTCTTTACTTTGTTCGGCAAGGACAAGTTTCCTATTTCTGACGTCTACCAGTATTTTGTGGAATTGCAGAAAATCAATGCCGATTATAGGAACGAGGACGTCCGCTATGATGAAACTCCAGGAAAAATTAGATTTAGGACCGAAATTTAATTGCAACCGCCTTTTGCCGTACGTCTTGATGTCAGACCTGTTTGCAGCTTGTAATTTTAGTTTGGGGTCAGGTGTGTTTTTCTCGAGTGCAGTAGGTGGTACTACACTAACCTCTGCCCCAGTGTCGACTAAAAACTGTGTGCCGGTTCTTTTGTCTGTAACATATAATAGACGACTGTCTTGAAGTTTGTGGTCAGTGAGTGCAGTCGTCATTAACCTGCGGTCTTGACGTCCCTTTTTCTGTGTGCTTGCAAAGTTACAAGGCGGAATACATTTTCTAGCTTGTTTGCCATATGTTCTATGGTACCAGCAAATGTTGTGTCTAGTAGTGCTTGGACTACGTCGTCTACGGCTTGTGGATGTTCTTCTACGCTTGCTGTGGGAGGCATTCAATAATTGGATGTGAGCTATCTGTTTCGTAAGGATATCAACTGATCGTCGTAACTCGGCGATCTCGTCAGCTGAACTTGATTGGATTTGAGATACAAGGTGAGTCTTGGACCGTTCGTAAATTCTGTCGGCTATGTCTGCTAGCCTATCAAAATCAACGTCTTCGTCTCCCATTGCTAGTATCTGTTGAATGTTTTGAGGAAGACGTCTGAGCCACAATTGATATAGTAGACGTTTGTCTACTGTACGACTTCCTAATAAGTTTGTCATGTGGCGTTTTAACTGTGACGGTGTATTGTCACCTAGCTCGACGTTGGCTAAAAGTTGATCGATTGTCTGTTGGTCAGTGAGAGATGTGACACGAATGACCTCTCTTTTTAGACAATCGAATGGTGAGTCAGGATCCGGCTTAAAAATGACATCCGGCACTTGTTCAATGACGTCATCTGGCAGCAGTGAATTTGCATAACTAAATTTCGTACTCTGGTTTGTGATTTTGTTTGCTACAAAAAAGCTTTCTAAACGAGCGAACCAGAGTTCAGCCTTTCGTGAATTAAAAGTAGGTAAAGGTACAGAGATGGCACCCACGGAAATAGATTTAGATGAAAGGCTTAGCGAATTATCAAGTGCCATGATACGAAGAAGCAATAGTAATAATAAGCCGAGGATTGTAATATACAATATGAAGAGAAATCAAAAATAACAACAAGAAATATATATAAGACTCACCGAAAAGAAAAACTGTCACTTTTGGTTTAAATATGCGAATATACAGCAATAATTCCAAAGGAACAATGCTATGGATGGATTTATTATGACTGTTAATGAATTGTTAATAATTGTAATAGTAATTCCAATGTGAAGTTCTTTAAGATACGCTTGGAGAGTATGCAGCAGAATTCGTAGAGGAATGGTGTGTGTTCTAAAAGCGGTTCACCAATATGTTATGGATAATGTCCTCAATATCTGACTCCAAATAATAATATCCCGTAACTGAGTATTTTAGCTAGGCTTAATCTCCTAGTAGAATTGCGAATTTACTCGAGATTATTAAAAAGCCTGAACACCAGTTATAGAGATAGTTTATTGTTAATGAATAATAATAATCCACAAGCGCACGATGAGCAAGCACACGATGAAACAGAGAGAGTGTGTGAGTGAGTTAAAAATCCATATATATTTGAGAGTTAATCGGGTGTGGATAAATTATCGATTATCTGCACATTGCAACCAATAGGAGAATAGCTTAAGAGTTAATGTACAGACATGCATTCGATCATACACACCGAAATTAACATAGTGAATTGAGTCTGAGTTACAATGACTAGACAAATGATACAGTAGCCAAAAGGGCTTGCTACATGCTCCTTCACGAGGAGTAACAGGCGTAAGTAAGTAACCACAATGTAATGTTGACAAACGTTATTTGATAGTTTAATTCACGAGTCGATCCAAGCTAAACCACCACTGAAAGCCTGGAAGCATTGGATGGCCGTTTCGTCATAATGTAGGACTCTCCCCAGCAGTGCGTATCCACAATCCCGCACACGGGGTTCGAACCCAAGCCCCTCGGTCTCGTGCGCGAACACTTCACCTTTAGACTACTGAGCCGGCATCCAGTGGTGTTAATGTCTAACTTCAATCGGTCCATGATCTTGCACAACCCGTCATCCGTTGCCGTTCAGTGCGTCCAGGTTTTCTATGGTGGTCTAGCTCAAATAAACTCATGAATTTAATTAGTAAAATTACTACAATCTCTACAACTCCCCATTCTGATAAAATGTTTTCATTTTGACTGACTTTAATTAAATTCAAACGACCCTCATTGGTCTACTTTTAAAGTTTCATACTATAATTTTTCCAGTATTTAGTTATTTACGTCTATGACCTTTAGTCTCCCATAACTGTTATATTTTCTAATCGATTTATTTGTTCACATTATTTACTAGTAGTTTTAGAAGTTTGCATAGATTCCACTCACTTCCTCGCCCATACCTAAATATCCATGAAACATACAAGCAAATAAATATGTTATCACATCATTTCATGTAAATTGTATGATTGTACAAGACATGGAAGTGAGATCATCTCAATGATATTTTTGCTTTACTGAGCTGCTTAATTTATATCGTAGTGGCGCAATAAATGAAAATCAATTTATTCTGGTGTCAAATAAATATATTTAAACGTGACAAACGAGTGCATAGTTTGAAAATAATTGTTAGTCAGTCAGCATTTATCCATAATCATCGCTTGGAGCTATTTATATAAACAGAAATGAGAGCACTGAGATCGAATGAGTAACAAAGGAATTAGGGGATGTTTAGATTTACTTACGAAGATCTGTTTTTACTGTTTGCGATTGTCATTTGCAGTACGATTTCACTACTGTAATAACGAAGTGACATTTACTACTGTACTTAAGTCATTCAGCTTCCCACACAGACTAGTATATAGTATAGTGCCTTTCTAACTTCAGATAGTCTGAATCTCTTATAACTAGAAGTTCAGCTTTTAATGTCTCCAGTGTAGGCTAATAGTGAGATAACGAGTGATAGCGAGATCGGTTAGAAATCACATCAGATAACGTGAAAAGGAAATCTCCAATCTCTGGTTCCATCAAATGTAAGTATTGCAAATTCTTTCCAAATAGTCACCATTTTGTATACAGAAGAGGATTTATTTGTCATATTCATTTTCTTATTTAACGAAATCTGTAAATCAGACATCCATATACCTTTGATGTAACCAGAGAAGGGATGATAGTAAGTGAAGTTGCACCTCGAAGACCTGCCTGTATACTAGAAGTTAAATCAAAAGATAGTATAATAAGATGGGTTCTTTACTCAATGGTGCAAAACTTACTTTGATTAGTGTTGCAGTCGAACAATTTTAATTCTCCATCTAGTGAACCGCTGACAACGTGTACAGTATCAGAAAAAGCGGTGTCTAAAACCGGAGTACTATGTTGATAAAACAAACGTTGACTTCCTGAAGCCACATCATAAATTCGCACCGTACAGTCCCAACTTGAAGCGACTAGGAATTGTGGAGCTGCTTTCCCAGGTTGGAAACGAACAGCAGTAACACCATCAGTTGGAAGAGAAGATAATTTGTACTGATCCACAGTAGTAGTCAAAGGAGCCATTGCTAAAAAAATGAATTTATCTCCCAGGATAAATATAAGCTGCAGAAATCAGTTATGAAAACTACGCTGTACTCTTTTGTATCAAAATTGTGATTTTTTCTGGAAAGAACATGTCATCCTACTGTGCGTAAGTAAAATTTTTCGTAATAGCTGTAGTCATGTTAGGACTCTAGAAATGATATAATGAATGACGGTTCTAATGAGTTTCAATCACTTAGAGTGTTGACGCATGTGACTATGTTTATAAATTATCACTGCTGGCGGGAGAAAAGATTGAACTAATGGGCATTGATAGTCATACGCAAGTGACTTCTTGCAATCTGTTCGTTTAATAACTCGGTACAGAAAAACGTTCCCTTGATTTATTGCTCTGATTTGTGAGAATATAGGGGAAAATTTACACAGTGTGTTCATACATATTGGAGAATCACATATACACCTAAACATTAATTTGATGTACGGTCTAATCAGCTGATGTAAGCATGGTTGTTTTCAGCATTAGGTGATTTTATTAACAGCAGACTGAAGGTACTAAGTAACCCTGTGTGTAAGACTTTGACCCCAATTATTGCGTATGAGAGCCGATGGATATTATGCACTGAGCCAAACTTTAGCTGATGCCGAGTGCTTCGAGCCCCTGTCTGAACGACTTAGGTTTGAGAATCGAAACCTGTAAGACAAAATTCTAATCATAGTTCGACATGAATAAAAGTCGTATTACGATAATTCCTGTTCATAGAAAAAACAAATATCCTTTTTCACTATGAACACAGATTTTAAGGTTGGGATGGAATTAAAATCAACTATTAAAATACTAACATGGTTACAAGTATTTTAGTTCTTCTGAATAAGTCATTGTACATTAAGGAAAAACTGTAGGTCGCATTGAATAAAATATAACAATGAAACTGTACAAATATTCAATATCAGATGTAATATTTATCATAAAGGATCAAACTAGGAAACAATGGCAGTCATACAATTAATCAAGAACGATACTACATAATGTTTATACACTGTTTATTAGAATTAGTTTACACCGAAATTTATTAAACAGAACAATTAACATAAATATCAATGAGTATATTATTTTCTTAGAAAAAAAACAAATGAAGCAGCTGGAAGCGCTTCGGCGTTTTCTGCAATTAGCAAACTACACATACAGACTGAGAAAAGTTTTGGAAATAAATCATACATATCGTAGACAGAAACACAGAAAAAACAAAGTGTATTGAAATATTTCAAAAATAAAGGAAACCAAATTTATGCAACTCAATATTAACTCAAGTTCGTAGAAAACAGAGCAGACACAACCGAAATAAGCTGACTACAAAAAGGTGGGCAATACATAAGAAGCAATAGGTAGTTTAAACATAAGTATTCACTGGATGGATAATTGCGAGTAACTGATAAGTATTTTTATTAATTATTACCTGGTTCACTGTTTTTTACATAGAATATAAAACAATACCCAAATATTTTTTTAAAAAGAGAAAAATATGGAAAACCGATGTTAACTACCTGAAACGATCTTGTATAATTCACGAGATGTCTGTAGAAGTGTAAACATGCATATGAAAAAATAAGCAAACAAAAAACTGTACAATAACAACCACGGAAAATAACGATGAAGAAGGCAATTGGTAAGATATATATTGCTAGAATGATTTGCACAGGTTTACACTCTGAGTAGAAATAAGTTCGTTATCACAAATATTTATTTGAGTCGGTGATAGCAAAAATGGAATATATATTTAGTTAATAATCAAAAGGGAAATCATTATGTGCAAGAAAGAACTGGAAAAAGAGAAAACGAGGTATTTAGTGCATAACAAAATAAATATGGAGATTCTTTACTTTTGGTGAGTTCATAGAGATAATAACCGATTCAGGTGACAGCTTCTAATAATCCTTATTATCGGATATGCTTACAACTTCATCGTTTTTGCCATCAGTTTCAAGATATGTGTGATATCGGAATAGATCAGGCCAATACCAAGATGAGGTGATTTTGCCACCTGATATATTTGATGAACTAGATTCAAATACTCTTTCTATAACAGATTTCTGATCATGTTTATTGGAATTCAGACATAACCAAGGCACCTTTCGTGTATTTAATCGAAGCAAAAACAAAGTAAAATCTTTCCCAGAACTAATATTATAACAGACTGGTGAAAGACTGCCCATAAACGATAATTTGGGCCAGGGAATGGGTCGCTTATAGCTGGGCACAGAATATTGTTAAGATTTATTCCTGTCATCTGCAAAAAAAAGATAATAAATTAATCACTTGGAGATCCAATTAATTAATGCACAAATATTTAAACAACATTTACACTGTTTAATGATTATGGACAATGAAAGAAAATAATTTATCACCAATAACGGAGTACATTTCATTAACATAGATCATTTATGAAGAATTAATGTATCGCAATTTATAATCCAGTCCCAAATACTTTTGTTTGATCAGCCACACATCATCGTGCATTTGATCAAGCAGAGATACGGAAGTCATGTTATTATCAAAACTATTTAACATAAAAGAAATGTATTGAAAACAGAATGGTATAAGTTTGGACAAAGTAGAACAACTAGTCAACAAAAGAGACTACAATTATCTGTAACAAAATAAAATAACGATACTTAAAGATTTATGTTTCAAATTCATATACTTTTGACTGTCATGGAATGAGTCGATAGTCGTCCCTATCTTTCAAAACGGTTCACGTCGTTCCTGTAACAAATATTGGGGGATAAGTCTACTTCCGATCGAGTCCAAGCTATTGGCTTCCATCATATTTCGTAGGCTGTTCAAAAACAGAGAAACATTGACTCGCGAGGAGCAAGTCGGTTTTCGTTTCGGTCGAGGATGTACTGATCATATCTTCACCCTCCGTCAAATATTAGAACACCGTCATACTTATCAAAGGTCAACAATCGTAGTGTTTCTTGACATTAGGGCTGCCTTCGATTCGTTGGACAGAACTGTTCTCTGGGATTGTCTATTGAAGAAGGATGTGTCTGAGTAGTTTGTTAACATCCTAAAGGCCTTATATACAAACACCTCAGGCAGAGTGAGGGCAACCAACCACCTCTCTCCATTGTTCCATTCGAGCAGTGGGGTTAAGCAGGATTGCCCAATCTCACCATTCCTCTTCAACTTTGTCATCGATGACATTCTGGAAACAGCTCTGATGAATGTAAGTAATGGTGGTATGTATCTGTTTCCTGGACAAAGACTTCTTGACCTTGAGTATGCGGATGATATTGTCTTCCTGTGCGATAATGCCCAAGCCATGCAATCTGCACTTAGTCAGTTGGCAATCGATGTCCGTAGGTATGGTATGTGCTTTGCACCTTCGAAGTGCAAAGTATTTCTACAAGACTGGCAGGATTCTAATCATGTACTCACTCTGGATGGTGAGCAGATAGAAGTAGTCGAGAAGTTCGTGTATCCGGGTAGCTGCATAAGTGGTGGTGGTGGCGTGAGTGAAAGCCAGAATGGCTTATGCCAATCTGGGCCACCTTTGGCGCCTTCGTTATGTTAGTCTGGCTGTAAAAGGTCGGGTTTACAGTTCGTCAGTGGGAGCAGTTTTGCTCTATGCTTGTGAAACCTGGTCTCTCCGAGTTGAGGGCGTTAGACGACTCTCTGTGTTCGATCATCGTTGTTTCCGAAGGATTGTCGACATCCAATGGCAACACCATGTCAGTAATGCAGAAGTTCGGCATCGTGTGTTAGGGCGCAGGGACGATAATTCAATTGGTGTTACCATCCTGAAACACCAACTTCCGTGGCTTGGACATGTTCTACGAATGTCGTCCCAGAGAATTCCACGTCGTGCATTACTTTCCGACCCTGGGACTGGTTGGAAGAAGCGGAGAGTTGGTCAGTGTATGACATGGTGTCGTGGTATGAAAGAAAGCTGCAAAGGACTGGCTTCTGTCGGTCCTTCACGACTCCCTGGTTGGAGTCTGAGAGATGGTGCAACACAGTGGCTAGAGACGTTATCAGATATGGCTCAGAATAGAAGCCAGTGGCGATCCTGCTGTAACCTTCTTTTACTTTCTTCATAAAAAAATGGTTGTTTCCTCCTTAACTGAAAGACTTCTCATTGTACCTTTCCGTTTCCCCATTATTACTATTATTATTACACTACCTTACACTAATCTGTTCGTTATTGTTCTTTCTTCTCTTCGAATTCTCATTGTTTTGTGTGGCGCATATATATTTGGCGCTCTCTTGTACCAATATTCATGTGTTCAAATAAATAAATAAATAATAAACTTTTGACTGTCGCGATAAAATATTTGTTTGTTTAGAAATAGACAACCATGTCACCGTGAAAAATAAGATGAGGCTAAAATTTATCTCTCATAAGGACGTGAAATATGTAGGAATCAGGTTTTGATATTAAAAAGGCGTACATTCAAATTAGATTATATAGTCCATAATGTAAGTAAATAAAGACATTGCATCTGATGATCACTTTGACACAAAGCTGCAGATCCACAATGACTTTCTGAAACAGTACTAAAAACAGTGCAGTAAAATTTGTAAATCTAACCTTTTGAATATACATAGACATACTATGCTACAATCTTAGAAGTAAAAGACAATACAAGGAAATAATATTTCTAGAATGCATTCAGGAATAGTCCAATATTCTTGTTATTAAGTTAAACAACGTATGTTAGTTTCAATATTTGAAAATAAAATTGATCATTCAGTTGTTGCCCCGATAAGCCTTTTTATTCATTCTCAAAACAATGAATAGAAGTATATGAACTAATACGACAACATTAAAACTTGATTTATAAAATACGACAATAACATTGATAATTAGGATGAATAGACAATAACAACAAACTGTTGGGAAGGATGAATATACATTAGCCTACAAATTTGTGAAATTATTACATGAATACACAACCAAGAAACAATGAATGAGACAAAAACTATGAAAGATGCAAAAACTGGTCATCTCGATGTAGTAAATAGCTGACCACATATCCCTTTTAGAAGCTGAACATTCCAACCAGTAAACTATCTCTATATATGTTTTGTTTTGATCATTACTGTTTTTATATGAGCGTGTGTGTGTGTGGATTTCTGATCCTACTCATCACGTGTCTGTGTGTGTGATTATGGATATTGATTAACGCTTGATTAAATCGAGTTGGCTCACTCGTCTTCTCCACTACGTGTCATTTAGTTTCGCTTCTCTCTCTCCTCTTCGCTCCGTTTCCTGAGGGTTTGTTCAGAACAACGATTGTATGAAATATACGCACTCAAACATCATTCTCGTATTTGACTTATTTAATTCCGTTACTGACTAACCCGAGTTAAGTCGATGATTATATACGAAGGTAGCTGGGATATTGTTACAATGTCTCTCATTACAACCCAGTTATTTCTATTGTTAAGTATTCTTGAACAGTAATCCATCCAACAAGTCCCCAAATCAGAACACGGTTGGACAGAAACGAAACGAAATTCCAAATAACAAGGGTAGATGGAAATAAGAAGCACAATAAGAAAAAAGTTAGTAAATTTCTAGTTTTTATGTGAGATTCTAGAGTCTTCTCTAAGTATCCGCTAGCGCTGATTGGTTAAGAAATAGCCAACCAGAGTGCAGCAACACAATCCTGCACGGAACGTGCTTTAATCTAGTCTATATTCCACTAACAGATATATAATTAAATAACAATCATTCATACGATCAGATAGGAGTCAGGACTCGGGCCACTAAATTATGAAAGAAATCTGAACAGGGGTGGCTTCTGTTGGTCCTTCATGACTCCCTGGTTGGGGTCCTAGAGATAGTACAACACAGTGGCTTGAAATGTTATCAGACATGGCTAAAAATGGAAGTCAGTGGCAATCCTGCTGTGACTTTCCTCATAAAAAGTGAACGTAACTTTTTGACTCAAAGCATTCTTTCTGGTTGTATTTTTCCTAACTGAACTGCCTTTCCTATTATTATTTCACTATCATACACTAATTTCCGTTCGCTGTTATTCTCCTTTTTCTTATACGCACTATACATTGTCTATCTCTTCACAGCCTTATTGTTATTGTATGGTGCATATGTATTTGGCGCCCCTTTGCAATAATATGTGTCCAAATAAATAAATAAATTCTAAAAAATATTTTACCCTGATACAGAGATTCTATTTATCATAAAACCTAACTTACCAAAGCAATGGGTTGTAGGACTAAGAAATGATACAGAACCTGTATACTTAAAGAAAATATCACCCATGAAAAATCATCAATTGGTTCAACTGAAAATTCACCTGTTGTAAAAGCAAGAAATAAAATATCTCGTGTTAAATACCCAGTTAATTTTAATTGTAACTTTAGAAACTGAAATCTACCACGAATATTTGAAATACTTTAGTGGCTGAGAAGGGAAATTGTACTGTGTTTATGAATTGTCTTTAATACCTAGTTTTGCAAAACAATCATTGTATTAGATGTAACCAGTTAATCATGACCAATGTAGAGCCTGACACATGTTTTGGCTAGAGTTGTCAGAATGCCCTGGTACGGCCGAGAGTGGGGAGAGTCCGCTCTCCCTCTCGAAATACTCTCACACGGCCGCGCGTATACAGCCTCTGCCAGGGAAGTCCTACACACGGCCTTCTCGTGGCGGGGGTGTTGTTTACGAAAATGAGAGGACGAAAAGCGAATGTCCGGCGCTTTAACCGGATCACAAACCAATGGTGCACATGGGCTCCAGTATCCTGCGGGAACAAATGGCGTATGAACCAATCGTTGGTCACCGGCTACCATGGGATTGCATCTCCTTACGATGCTCCACTGCCTTGTGGGTTAGACCTTTAGGTCAAAGGCTCGGGGAGTGGCCCCCTAAGATAACCACCTGCTTCGGTTCGGGCACCCGGGCAGTATCACAGCCCACACACAAATGATGAACTCTCTATGTCTATGGAAATTACTTTTCTCGCTTCGAAAAACAATCAATTGATTCAAATTATTATCATTACAATTATTGTCATTATTAATACTACCATTATTATTATTATTACTATTATTGTCATTATTAATATTATTATTTTCCACATTATTCACTCTCTTTTATACTTATACAGTGGCTCGTCTTTGGTGGAAATTCGACTGTATCTAAACGTTCTCGAGTCACTGTCCGGTTGAAAATTGTATGTTACCACCGAATACGAGAACTGAAGCAGTTTTCCTGAAACCACGTGCACCATTCAAACTGGCTGCCTTCAACGTTCACACATTTATGCAGGTCGGACAACAGATAGGGCTGGCTATGTCTTTGGAAAGTCTAAATATCGATGTTTGTTGTCTATCCGAGACCCGTATTCAAGACTCTGGCGAAGTACTACAAATTCGATCTCCATCTGTCGCTTCGAAAAGCTTGTTTTACGTGCGCTTATCAGGGGGCCCTGTGGCATCTTCGTCTGGTCTTGCTGGCGTTGGTGTCGCACTAAGCGCTAGAGCTGAGGCAGCACTAATCGATTGGATCCCCATTAACAGTCGGCTATGTATTGATCATATCTTCACCCTCCGTCAAATATTAGAACACCGTCATACTTATCAAAGGTCAACAATCGTAGTGTTTCTTGACATTAGGGCTGCCTTCGATTCGTTGGACAGAACTGTTCTCTGGGATTGTCTATTGAAGAAGGATGTGTCTGAGTAGTTTGTTAACATCCTAAAGGCCTTATATACAAACACCTCAGGCAGAGTGAGGGCAACCAACCACCTCTCTCCATTGTTCCATTCGAGCAGTGGGGTTAAGCAGGATTGCCCAATCTCACCATTCCTCTTCAACTTTGTCATCGATGACATTCTGGAAACAGCTCTGATGAATGTAAGTAATGGTGGTATGTATCTGTTTCCTGGACAAAGACTTCTTGACCTTGAGTATGCGGATGATATTGTCTTCCTGTGCGATAATGCCCAAGCCATGCAATCTGCACTTAGTCAGTTGGCAATCGATGTCCGTAGGTATGGTATGTGCTTTGCACCTTCGAAGTGCAAAGTATTTCTACAAGACTGGCAGGATTCTAATCATGTACTCACTCTGGATGGTGAGCAGATAGAAGTAGTCGAGAAGTTCGTGTATCCGGGTAGCTGCATAAGTGGTGGTGGTGGCGTGAGTGAAAGCCAGAATGGCTTATGCCAATCTGGGCCACCTTTGGCGCCTTCGTTATGTTAGTCTGGCTGTAAAAGGTCGGGTTTACAGTTCGTCAGTGGGAGCAGTTTTGCTCTATGCTTGTGAAACCTGGTCTCTCCGAGTTGAGGGCGTTAGACGACTCTCTGTGTTCGATCATCGTTGTTTCCGAAGGATTGTCGACATCCAATGGCAACACCATGTCAGTAATGCAGAAGTTCGGCATCGTGTGTTAGGGCGCAGGGACGATAATTCAATTGGTGTTACCATCCTGAAACACCAACTTCCGTGGCTTGGACATGTTCTACGAATGTCGTCCCAGAGAATTCCACGTCGTGCATTACTTTCCGACCCTGGGACTGGTTGGAAGAAGCGGAGAGTTGGTCAGTGTATGACATGGTGTCGTGGTATGAAAGAAAGCTGCAAAGGACTGGCTTCTGTCGGTCCTTCACGACTCCCTGGTTGGAGTCTGAGAGATGGTGCAACACAGTGGCTAGAGACGTTATCAGATATGGCTCAGAATAGAAGCCAGTGGCGATCCTGCTGTAACCTTCTTTTACTTTCTTCATAAAAAAATGGTTGTTTCCTCCTTAACTGAAAGACTTCTCATTGTACCTTTCCGTTTCCCCATTATTACTATTATTATTACACTACCTTACACTAATCTGTTCGTTATTGTTCTTTCTTCTCTTCGAATTCTCATTGTTTTGTGTGGCGCATATATATTTGGCGCTCTCTTGTACCAATATTCATGTGTTCAAATAAATAAATAAATAAATAAATAGAGTTGCCATGATACGTTAGCACAGCGAGGTGGATTTTAAAAATAGCAAAGTGAAAGGTAGCAGAAAAACCAAACATTAAGAAAACGGCACAAATAAAAAAATTAAAAAGATGTGTGAAAATGTACTGAAACTTAAGATCTAGAGGTAGATAAAGGGTGATTACATCTGTGCCGCTGTGACCGATTCTGAGCCATGTTACACGATGTCGTACACCACTGATCAAGGTTGTCATAAAAACCACAAGTAGGTAGTTTGCGTCCACCAATATGACTCATAACAATAGCCAATGAAAGCATAGTGTTCAACCCTCCATCAGGTTAGGTAGCAGGATAGTGAGTGTCACAAGCTAGAGATAAGCGTCCCTCAAAGTTGATTACAAACGTGTATTTGGCAAACAGGTCCAAATGAATATCACAACATAAAATATCGGATAAAACCAAGTTAAAGTGGATGGATTACATTAATTTATGTCGTAACAACAACAATAACAACCATAATAAAATTATGCATATAGAAGGGTACGATAAAGTGAGAGAAAATTGTTCTTTTTACTAGTACCCATCATGTTTTCAACAATCAATTTATGGAAGTTTATGCAATAGCCACAAAAGCTCAGTTCATTATCAACTTCTTTTATTTGTTGCCAAACCAGCCATTTTCACAGTTTACTCTTCATACAACAAGCCACACTACAATATAGATACTGAAACATACATACATGAACTAGAATAAACAATAAAAAAATAGACGAAACAAAAATGATACAGAAACATTCACCCGCATATAATGCATTCCTTTTTAAAGAAATAAGCACCTTTATACAAATTAACCGAAGCTGTACTGGGTAAATAGACACAATACATTTTAGCAATTTTAACAAAATAAGACTTACTACTCTGATTCAAAAAGCTAGCAGGAATTAAAATAATCAGAATATGTTGCACGAAGTAGGTCACATGTTCGAATGGCAGCTTCAAAAAATGTAAAGAACTACGTTAGAACTCTTGTTATACACAAGTCATCAAATTTTTCAGTAAATTTAGTCCAATCATCGGAACACGTCGTTTAGTGACTCAAAAGATGTGTTAAAATGTGTTCGAGACGCTGAAAACTGCTGGGCTTTAACATAAATATTATAAGTATAGCAGTTATGACTACACCTACTGGCACTTCAATGATTCAGGAACAATTTTCAACCTTCAACTTGTACTTTCATTTTTCGTTCATATAAAAACATCGAATATCAGTCGTTAATAACTCAATTTTACACATACATAAAGGCACAATTTGTTCAGTCATTTATTTTCACATCATGAACTTTTCACATGTTTCGCATTTAATTGACTTATGTTATCCTATTTACTAAAAGTCAAGATCCAAACATGATTGCGTTAACACAGTATGGATTTGACTGTTAAAAACGCTATATATTTATTTAATGATTTTGATTTTTACCATGAAGAAGTCCAGACAAGTAGCTGGACGAAACGTTAGAATTATTTAAATTTCAATCGCTGAGACTGTTTCAAGTATAATTTTCACATATAATGACGTATAATAGACTTCCTAATCTAAAATTGTCATAATCCCTGACTACATTAGACATCAGAACTAGGTTTCTAGAAATTGTAGTACCAGTCCCTTGAGATTCGCAATCTTAAGTTGAAATGAGTTCCGGATGTAAAAAGTGTAACTATCAATTAATTAAATGATTCGGAAAGGAACAATGAACATGTCGGCTTCAATTGGTGTCCGGTGAAACATTTAAAAAAATGGAATCGAGATATGAAAGGAGATTTTAACAAAAGTTGACAAGGTTATTCAAAGTAACAAAATGTGTTTATTTATGTACTGAGACTCGATACACAAATGGAAGTACGGGTGAACCTTACAGAAGTATATCTAGATACTTTTTTATTATAACCAACCAAACTTATATTAACAATTATTAGACTCAACCGTGACTTACTAAACATAAGTTCATCATATTACGTTTCAACCAAAGCTTAGAATTAATAGATACCTAATCATAACATACGCGACAGAACGAATTAACTACTAGTCTTTCAATGGATTGACTAAATTACCATTTTGCCAACCTCTAAAATATACTATTTGGCTATCTCAAACATTTTTTCCGATCCTGATAAGGCTCTAGAAACCGCTGAAAGATGTTCCGTTGGCACCTATGTAACTGAAAAGAATATATAGAAGGTATATTGAAGTTACTGAAGATTCTTTGTCTAAACTAATGTAGTTATTCAAGTTTACTGAATCGTATTCCGAGGTTATCACAAATATTGGCGTCATAGAAGCCAAGTGCATGAGTACGTATAATGAGTGGTAAGTTCAGCTTCCTGATTTTCAAGAACTCTCTTACCGGTGAACTTAAATTCCTGGTTTGATGGAACTAATTAGAACGTAAATAATTGCACTTTCTGATTTTAAGTTAAATACAAACATTTATTTTTACACATTGAAAAATTACTGATTAATATACATTTCAGTTAAAGACGATTGTGAGTACAGAAACTCAATAAGAAGTAATCCACTTATCCTGATAGTTACATTTGCAACGAGTTAAACATTACTGTATTGAGCTAAACAGTACGTTGGGTGCCTTTTAAACAAAAGATCAAGTTGCTTACCTGGAAACCTACATCAACCCTGGAGATCATGTGATGCTCGCATACTACATAGTAAAATAATAATAATAACCATAATCATTAATATGGCTTTTTGAACGTTTGGAAATATATCCATAATCGAGTGTAATTGTGGTTAGGCGTTCGCTACTGAACAAGAAGTGCGATAACAATTAAATTCTCATGAGTTCTTTAGTGAGTTGAATATCCTTATAGACGACCTATACATTTTGCTTCAAATTACTTCTATATGTAGCAGCTATCAGACTGTAATATCAGTCACTAAAAAACGTAGTCGGTAAACAGAATCTCACACTTGATCTAAGGTTGATATTGCTCATTTAATCGGTTGCCTATTGATCTGTATTTTACACCATGTTCGTGTTTTAAACACAGATATTAACACATCAAACTTATCAAACAAAATAACGCAGGTCAGAACAAAACGAAATAAACTGTAAACTATCTGGAAATGTGGTCTCAGGGATTCAAGTGACCAGTATTGTTTCACTTGCAATTTACGGTAGGAAAGCCATACGTATTACTGCTTATCCAAGGAGCCTTAATTAAAAAAGCAACCACACAGAAAACTAATGGATTAACATGAACGTCAGTAAGAACTTACGGAACGAGTGTTCAATATTGGGAAAGTTAACGCTAACAAAGGACCATTCATCATATGTAAGTGGATTCGAAAAATAAAAGTTGTAAGCCAAGATGACGATGAAGCCAAAAATAATATCTAGAAGGTAGCAAAATACAGGGATGTTACATTTATTAAACCAGGAGACAATCGGAATAGTAAAAAGAATCGGCTTAAAGGTATCTAGTCGAATTTCTAAACACTGGAACAACTGAAATCAGCATAATAGAATTTTGTGTGGAAAACAGAAAAATAACTTATTAACAGTTGGAAATTTATGAACAACCATTGCGTTAGATGATTTGATCTACTCGATCTAAATCAAAATGCTTCAAATACTGATCTTTCTGGTTAAAGCTCAAGTCAATAAGAACAAAGCCGAAGGTCAAAGCAAAGTGCGACATAAGTTCATGAAATGATTGGCTGGTGGACTGAGCTAAGATAGTAGGTGCGGAGTTTCAAGTTGAAATCCAGAGGATAACCGTAATTTAAGGTTGGTGATGCTGGTTAGTATAACCGGAAATCCTAATAATCGAAGTTATTCTTTTTTTAAATCTTGTGCTCAGCACTGTTTCGATTTTCCCCTACTCTGTGACAGCTCAGTCAGCCAGCTACAACGTAGGACCAGGCACATATGTATCGGTCCCAGTTGCCATACCTCTGTGACAACTAACGCTTTATTTCTACTTAGAACGACTAATTTTCGAGTAGTTTCACCTTCTATCTCTGGAGTTTGTTCCTCAATGCAATAATGCGGTGCAGATACTAAATTCGATGTCGTTCACGACTGACTGTCCAGATAACTCAAGAGAAGAATATGTTCGACTTTGAAACCTCGTAAAATAAGTCGACTAAGTCATCAATTTTGCTCAACTATATTTGAAAACCTTGTAGTTTGATCATACTTAAGATACTGAAGGCATACTTTAATGTTACCAGTAACCTAGAGAGTCATAATACGTCCCGTCATAAACCCGTTTTCGACTAAGTTGCCCCAACTATCGTATTGTTCCAAGTCCCTTGTTTGGTGAGCGACCTTAAACAGAACACGAATCAACCATATTCTTGATGGACAAATACATATCATTATGGCATCATTCAACTTCATTTGACAAATAACTCGCGGAGAAAATGAGTAAACAAGGGCTAGTGCCGAGAAATCTAAACACTCGGTAATGAAAATAAACAAAGCAGTGGACACTCACAATAATCCATTTTATTGACGCTGGAACGATTTTTAACAGATTTTTCATGATAAAACTTCTCGTTCGCAAAAATAGAATGAATAGCGCAAAAAGATGAAGCAACTCAAAGCGAATTACCTGTAGTATGGTTATAATGTGACACGGATTTAATATCCAAATAAGTGTGCTAGTGGCTAGCTTGAAGCCTATTTCAATCCCGAATACAAACGTGTGCAATACAAGAAGTATCTGTCTGAGCTTTGTTTGTTCATTAGAATGACGAGGATTTCCAACACTAAATTTTAAATACGACCAATAGAGAGTGTATAAGAATGTTATGCAGACACATGCAGATTCGAAGAACCTTCTTTTTGTTGTAATATAATTAATACAACTCTGACCACCTGCCCCCTCGATACTTGTATTTACACCCGTATACGTCCAACTTAGCATAATCCTCAAGGATTTACACAAGGCTACAACTTATTGCAATATTCTAAAACATTGAGGTTTTTCAGGCTTGTGAAAGGGTAGACGACGCCTGACGCAATGTAATACCTCATTGGGATCCCATCCGAAATCCCTCCCGCGCTCAACGTACGCTAATCAGGAGTAACAAAACAAATAAAACTTCTATCTGACAAGTTAACACAAGTCATTTGACTTATTTGTACTGTCTCCTTAGTGTCAAAAAACTTATAGCTATTCATCAGCCTCCTGTGATGTTAACATACTTTATCTGCCACAATTGCTCTCGTGAATTCGCTAATTAGAATTGGGAGGTTCTTATGTTGATCCACAGTAACCCTATCAACATATTTGCTTCCAAATATACTGCTTTCTATGAAATCATTCTTTGCAAGAGTGACACGATTGGTTTGTATAGGACTACCCAGTCGTTAACCTCTAGTGGTAAGTAAACCCGATCTCTCTATTTTGGGGGAAATTTCGTCCGTTTTGGGTAAAATTCTTATCAAACTAGTTTAAAAGTGCTGAACAGGGATAAATGCACTTGCTTTATGGAACTCTTGGCTATGTGTTATATTAACCTCCATATTTGACGCTGTTAAAGTTCGAGAACTCGCTTTACTCGGTAACCGTAAACCGTTAACGTCTTCTTTTGATTCATAATCCAGTGAAACTAATTAAGATAGACTTGTCTTGTGATCAGTTCTTGCTCTTATTTGTGTTTCTTTCGTTAATTCTAAGAATTTGTACAATTACTATCATCGACTGTAAAATTGCCCTTTAGGAAAATGAACTTCGACCTTCTTTTCCGTATTTGAATACCCCATAACATGACTCAGTGATTATCGCCCACAAACACACTGCTGCACACGTATGTTACTTGTTCTTAATTATCTGCCGTTACGATAACAGAACTTTTGTATATTTGCTTTCTATGTTTACAGATCACAGCGATATCCTCATTACATGCTTTATCTGGATATAAATCTCATGTTATAGTAATTATAGTTGAAATTCTAACTACTTATGATTGCGGATTACAAGACCAACGGAAACTCGGACATGCCGATTTCTGACAATTTAAGTGACGTCCTGTATATTCTTGTGTGCATAAGTTATGTTTGGTATATGAATACATTAATTTTTTTCATAATAACTTTGTCCTCAAATTTTGAAATTGATATATTCTGGTCCACCACAACCCAATAATTTTTTTTCTCTTTCGACACTTGCTTTGAACATAAAATGCACTTTGTTCGTTTGAACATTTAGGTGACAAAACTTAAAATTTCTTCATGTCATATATTATTCTAAGTGGGTTACTATTAATTGAGGATTTATGTAATGTAGACTGGTGAAATATTCATAATGACTACTTCATGGAGACTCTGGCTTCGACCAGTTATAAACAAACACGTTTTTAATGGTTTCCTGATAACCACACATATCTATGATCGGTTGAGGGAATTTCAACTAAAAAATATCAGACAGAACCCGCCCTCAGTATCGCAATGATTCAACATTTGGGTTGAAGCAATAAAACTTCATGAATGGGTTCAATATGTCCCAAAAAAGACTGGTGGAAAAAACTTACATGATATATCACTTGAAATCAACTCAAACCCACGTTGGATAAACGTCAGACATGAAATTTTTACTAAAGATCATAGAGTTGTAATGTGAACACTACATTCTTCGATGTCTGTACTATCAAACTCCAAAGTAAAAACAAATTTTCATGGAGGGAAACTCAATTACGAAACGTGGAAGCGCATGAAAAATAGGTTCGCGGTTCATAGAAGGATTGGCAACATATCACAAATAACATAGACTGAATACTTTGATCTATACTGTAACTTGGAGCACCGTCTATGCTGTCCAGCTACTAGTATTAAACATACCAATCGCAAAACCAGTAAAACCTAAGTAATAACGCCTGTTGCACTTCATGTAAGAGCATAGGCTGCCTACCACCATACTCCATTCAACTTTATCCTGAGCAATCTGTCCAGTTGCTATTCATCCTCTTGATGTCTGCTTCGAATTCTCGATACAGTGTGTTCTTTGATCTTGCACTTTTCCGTCAAACTTCAGGATTTAAAGTTACCATATTCCTCGTGATTCAGTTAGTTGATTTCTGTAATGTATGTCCTATCCACCTCTATCATCTTTTCCTAATTTCTTCTTCAGCTGTAAGCGGGTTTTTTCCCTCCCATAGTACGCTGTTGCTGTTGGTATCCAGCCAATGGACATTGAGTATTTTGCGTAGACAGTTCTTTAGAAATGCTTGTACTCATTTGATGATGATGGTTGTAGTAGCAGTTCTCCAAGTTTCAGCTCCCTACAGTTAAACTGTTTTGACGTTCATATTGAAAATTCTAACTTTGATATTGGTTGAGAGTTGTTTTGAGTTCCATACGTTCTTCAACTGCAAGAATACTGCTATTGTTTTGCTAATCCTTACCTTTACGTCTGCATCGGATCCTTCTTGTTCATCGATGATACTGCCCAGGTACGTGAAAGTTTTCACCTCTTCCAGGGCTTCCTCATCAATTGCGATAGGGTTGGTTGGTGTTTTCTGTACTATATTTAAGGATCGTGCTTTTCCCTTGTGTTTGTTGAGGCCTACTGATGCAGAGGCTTCCGACACACCGGTTGTCTTCACCTGCATTTGTTGGTGTGCATGAGTAGAAGGCCCAGGTCATCTGAAGAATCCAGATTGTCTAGTTTCATGCAAGCTGTCCATTGTATTCCGTGCTTCCTGTCAGGTGTGGAGTTCTCCATAATCCAGTCAACCACTAGAAGGGAGATAAAAGGTGAGGGCGAGCAGCCTTGTTTTATACTGGTCTTCACTTACAATGCGTCTGTCAGCTGTCCTCAATGCCCGACTTTGCAGTGTAGCCCGTAGTATGAATTCTGGATGATGTTGATGATTTTCACACCATAGTGTCGAAGAAGTTTTCATAATGTTCTCCCATCCATACTCTCAAACCCCTTCTCATAGTCAGTGAAGTTGATGCATAGTGATGAGTTCCACTCAACTGGTTGTTCAAAAATGATCCGTAGTGTCACGATTTGGTCTGTGCACGATCGATCTTTACGGAATCTGGTCTTTTGATTTCGAAGCTATGTGCATACTGAATCTTTCATCTGATTCAGCAACACTGTTGAATGCCTTTCCTGGTACCGATAGTAGTGTGATGCCTCTGTAGTTCTCACATTTGCTCAGATCTCCTTTTTTGGTGTCTTGATTAGGTGTCCTTCTTTCCAGTCCGTCGGCACTTGTTCTTTTTTCCAAATCTTCCTGAATAGAGTGTGAAGCATACTTGCAGTTACTTCTATACCTGACTTCAGAGCTTCAGCTGATATATTGTCAGGTCTATCTGCATTCCCACTCTTGGTTTGTCTGATTTCTTCTATCGTTGGTGGAATGATATTTATAGGAAGGTACGTGTGCTGCTTCGATGCCGTTGGATTCAGTGGAGCTGGCCTATTCAATATTTCCCCAAAGGGTTCTACCCATATGGTGCTCTGTTCTTGAATGTCAGTGATTGGCTTGTCTTATTTGTCCCTGACCTATCTCTTTAGTTTGCCATATTTCCTTGTCAGTTTCTCCGCTGTGTCATGTAGTTTTTTCTCATATTTCCATCTGTTTCAGCTTTTTTTCACTGTTATTGCTTTGTCTTTCAATGTGGTAATAGTATGTAGTGTGTTTGGTTTATTAACGAACTGCGCTTGTATTGGTTTTGGACTTATCTACCCAATCTTCAAAGCTGAATATAAAATAAATGGGAAACTATATATTCAGCATTTATCAGAGGGAGAAAGCGCATAGTGGTGAATTCGGGAACATTTATTCAATCGCTAGGCATGGTTTAGTCTCGAAGACTTGCTCAGTCTTACAGACTCGCTTATTCTGTATAGCTTGCCTTCATTCACATCAAACACTTTATTCTATCCTCAGTCAAATAGTGTTCTCCCTGAGTGCTAACATCACATTGCTGGTTGTCGTGGTACGAAGAGTCAGTGTAAACATTTATGTGGCTTCCACGTAAGATCACACAACTTAGGTAGTCTCACCATAACAAATCTGCAATTTTGAAATTAGGCCTATTATTTTAGCAGTACTAATAACGAAGTAGACCATAATTCAGCATTGGTGAACTCGGCTAGAGAAACGCAGCCTTTTATTAATCCTTAGTTCCACTCGATCGATCGATTTTTACTCATTTTAACGCATTATTCTATTAGTCCTCTGATAATGCTTACACGCATTATCGTAATGTTACATTGACTATTACTCGCTGCTTACTAGCCCAATCGATACTAATAACTGGTCATCTACATTAATTAGTATTTACGATCGTTCCCTAACAAGTCGTAATAGCATTTACACACTTCAGCGAAATAAACTTGTTAAAACCTCAAGCTGTGGTGAATATGACCCGTAAATGACGTAAATATACATTAAATAGCAACATAAGCAGTGACTGAATGGTTATCTGGACCTAATTCTTCATATTCTATACCTAACGTTTCAATCTCTTTTGAACTATAGGCTATCCTGTAATATCTTTTCTTTAGACCACTTCCTGCTTAATTTCCAATTTTCGAGTTTCATCGCCAAACGACAGTGATAATACTTCAGAAGCATATGGTGAGTTTATGCTATAAATAACAAAATATACCATAATTCAACAGAAGAAAAACTAGTGAACCTAAGATGGTTCATTTGGGGTATTTGACTTTTAGCTTGATTCCACTCCGACACTGTCGCATTTACCCCTACTCTCGGTCTCTAGCCATGGGGGGAGTTCCTTATTCATTGCTGTACGGCACAAAATCTTCTGCACAAGCCTAGAGTGGGAAACGTTATCAAGTGCTTTGCTGAAGTTAACGAACATCATATCAAAAAGTATGACATTATTTCAGACTACTATCCAATCTCCTGTCGCAATGAGTAAGTTAGTTGATCATGAATGCTT